GAAATTTAAGCACGTATGTTTTTAAGAAAACCACAGCAGAGAAGATGTGAGCTGATTATATTGAAAACTGTGGTCTGTTTGAGTCGTATTGTCAGTCCATTCTTGTTCAGACCATTTCTTCTTAAAATGTGTACAGCGTCAGGGCAATTGATGTGGTCACATTAGAGGCCAAAGGCTGTCAATTTCATTAAAATAAACTGGGATCTACAAACAGCATACCAATAAAAATGGCATTATAGACTTAAAGAAGTAAATAAATAAATATGAATACCTATTGAGGGCTCTATGTCTGATCCCAACCACTGTTAGTCACCATCCTGGGGCCTGTTTCACCTCATTTGCAACATGCAAGCTGGGATTTGTAACATGAGATAGTTTCCTGTCTCCTTTATTTTTACACTTTGTCACTAATTAAAACAAACTACTTGTTTCTTGCAACTATGAGGATGAGAATCAGAGAGCCATGTAGGACTTGTATCAACAATTTGAAGCTGACAATCATCTGTGAGATTTGACCGTGCCACCATTTGCAATCTGTGTGTAAACTGCGCTCACAAATCACTTGAGACAGGCATAATGTATGGATCAAAATGAATTTCATTTTAAATAGATAATGATGTTTCTTTCAGAAGTTGGATTTGACTACTAGGCCACAAGTTGATGGTAATTTTACATTGAGAAACAGTATCCTTGGTCTCTTTTTGTTATTATTTTTTAAGCATTTTATTCCTCTAATAGAGAGTGCAAGTAGGAGAGATGACAATAATTTAAGGAAAGCGATATGAAGCAAAGGTCCCCAGTGGGACTCTAACCCCATCCTTGGACTTTTGCTTGAATTTTCAATTTCCACATCAAGTAACATCAGTTTGAACACCTCCTTGGCTGTGTACGGCCAGATTACATCTCCAAACTTAGTTTTTACGAGGAACATCAAGTGTGAAAAACAGCCACCAAAATAAAGTTGAGGCAAATTATTAAATTATGGTGTTAATTGCAACCTCTCGCAACTTAAATTAAAGGATAGGTTATGTTTTTTAGTCTGTCTTAAAACAGTTGTCATGTGCCCATATGAACATTGAGGGTTTTCTTGCTGTAATCAACTGGACAAACTAGAAAATGTATGAACCCATCCTCTGAAAGGGAAGCGTGACTCTGAAATTGGGCAGCATTGTGGCTCAGTGCTTATCATTTATTGTATTTTGTACGAGGGCCTAATTCTAGTTAAAGGTTGGCGGCTGTGACTCAGAGGCAGAGCAAGCCGTCTTCTAGATAGATAGATAGTTACTTTATTAATCCCGTAAGGGGAAACTTTTTCACTAGTCAGGGGTTCAATCCTCAGCTCTTCCAGTCCCCATGTCAAAGTGTCCTTGGGCAAATTAATGAATTCCCGAACAGCGCCAATGATTGTGCCATCGGTGTGAATGTGCATTAATTTAGATCCTGATGAGCATCTGGCACCTTGCACGGCAGACTCTCCCATCAGATGTGTATGAATGTGTGTGGGCATGTTTTTTAACAAGTTTTTATAGTTTTGAATTATACCTTTGCAAGAGATGTAATATTTTTGTAGTTTGTGTACATTTTTTTTGTTTTTTAATGTATAGTGTCCACAAAGATGGCTGTTTTAGAAATTGGGTTTTAGCTATTGCAAACAACTGTATTGTGTGTGTGTGTGTGTGTGTGTGTGTGTGTGTGTGTGTGTGTGTGCGTGTGTGTGTGTGTGTGTGCGTGCGTGTGTATCAGAGCCTGATATATCTACAACTATTAAACACACATCAATGAGCACTAGCTGACATGTTCCTTCATCACCATGAACACACACACACTGTAGTTCATTTGACTCAATCACACATAAAATGTCCTGTTGCCACAAATACTCACTAGAGCACCAAATGTGTATTAATCCCCAGTCTGAAAATAGTCCCGAAGAAATGCACTATTTCTTTCTGTTTGAATGATGTAATAATACCCACTGGGCCCATTTGTTATGAAGAAATGATGGATACTTAAAAAAATATATAAAACTTTATATTTGTAAGCTGTTTTTGAAGATGTAAGTTCAGGAGGAACAGATGGGCTAGAACACAGATGAGGGAAGTATTGAGCGACAGACTAACACATTATTTGTTTCAATGGGAGCTGTTGAGAATAAGAGAAAAAAAATACCTGCCTCATCCATAAAGGTTGACCCAGCTGAATCCACGCAGTGCTAAGTTTATATTAGACAGGGTGTTGAAAAGATGGCGTATATTGTCATGCATATGGATGTCTTGTGATGTAACACTCTTATTTTAGCTTTCACACCATTAAATTCAGAGGCTATTACTGACATCCTATCATAAGCCTGTGCTGTCTGTGCTTCTCCACACATTTGTGTTGTGTACAAGCCAAAACCTCAGAAAAAACTGCCATATGTCTAAAGTAGTATATGCAGTGAATAAAAAAGTGCACACTGTCAGAAGTGCAAATACGAAAGGCTTTTATAATATGAAATAAACACTGTGTACTGTTTATATTGATCCTCATCTGCATCACACAGAGAGATAAGTGAAGCTAATTACAAAGACTCAAATTAAACATTGGTTACTCTGCATTATGTTACCATAGATTCTTTTTTCTTTCATTCAAATATGTTGCATATTGTTAGGAAATATCCAACATATCCATCTTCTCAGCTTGTGCTCAATGTCATCTGTCCTATATACAGTGTTTATAATCCTGTCAGAGACAGTTTTATATCCTAAACAGGGGAAGAAAACACTAAAGTGATATCACTTCAGACAATCAAATACATTTTAATGAAATAACTTCATATATCACGCTGCTCTACAATACTGCAAAGCTAGCTGTGCAAACAATGTATTGCTGAATGAAAAATAATTTAGCTGGACAAGTGCAAATGTCTCTGTAACATTTCAATCAACGCCTTTTAGCTGTAAAGCTGTACCAACTAAAATATGTTACATGAAGTTTGGAGCGCTTAATGAGAGCACTCAGCTCTATCATGTGGTCATACACTTCCACACGTGAACACATGGGCAGATATGCACTTATGTGGTTTCACATTCACGCACACAGGCAATCCAAAGACATAGAAACTCTGTAAAATCCATAGTTATTATATTTTCCATGTTTATCTCCTGTTTTGTCTCTCGCATTATAACTTGCACACCAATTAGCTGCAGCCACACAAGGAGTGCATGAAGGGGAGGAGATGCACTGATGCAGTTCACATGTTCAAGTCCACTCTCACGGCAGAGTTGAATGAGCTCCTCCGACACAGTAGAAACTTCACACAGTATTTATTACAGCACTGCTGTATTGGATTTTATTACAATTTGACATTATTATGATGAAATTGTCATTACATTGAAATGTTTCAGTACATGTGTTTTATGGGGAGATGCAAAAAGCTGGAACTGTGTTTTTCTTTTTCTAAAACTTTAGTACAAATGTTATATTATAGTTAGAACACGATTAAGTACCAAGCAATATTACAATCTACATTTTTTTTAAATAAAAAAATAGTATTATCTTTTGTCTGACAAATTTGCTTTCTTTGTAATAATTATTTTCTGGAGGCTGTGATGGCTCCAGCACTATTTCCATTTCAGTCTTGCCTGTCTGCCCAGATGTGCTCTCTCTAAAATGCACCACGCTTTTACTATTTGGTTTTGTTTGCAACATACACACTGCTTTGGTCACTACACAAATGCACATTTATACACCTCTAACTGTGCATTATTCGGCACCTTGCTGTTTTCTTTCCAATTGTTTTTTTCCTAATAAATAGGTGTTCTATACCTTGCATATGCCACCTTTTGTTATGGCCAACGAGCATGTCACCTTAAAACGGATTCTTGTGAATATATTTCCGAATCCTACTGATCTCAATGATGATTGCAGGTAGAAAGCAATGCTTGAGCAACTCGGGTATTCATTGAAGGCAACACACTGCGAGAGCTTTCTTGTTCGACCTTTATATGGCACAAAATGAACAACCCAAGGCACCGTAAATTACACACAAGCTGATTGCTCCACATGGATTCTTAGTTTTAGTCCTGACTCTCCACTACTTAGATCATGTTTGCTTATAGTACCCAAACAATGCCATACACAATGTGTCCCTCATTGATCAGTTAAAATGTTAATTGTTCATTTTTACACATTTAATACATGACTCACTCAGTTATATTTCTGTTAAACATTGTCTCTTCTTAGTTGACTGTGTCAGTGTAGCAGTATTCCCCCGTTGTAGAAACAAAATACTCCAACACTGAAACGGGAAACTGTCTTTATGCAGAAAAAAAACAAAACAACGTTTTTATGCATTTAGGTTGAATTATGGTAAGTTTGACTGTGTTCACCCTGGCTCTCAGAAGCTGAATACTATCTGGGAAAAAAGAACACTACAGCTCTGACCACACTGTGACAGGGCACACATACTTTATGGATTAGAGGTTCATGACATTGCAATGTTAGGTTTTCTTTTTTAGTGTACCATCACAATATGATGTGCGAGTCTAAAAGGGATGAAATAATTATGAGAAGTCGCCAAAGTCGTTAGAAATTGCAATCATAATATTTAGACAGCCTTTTGGAAGTATGTAGGATCACCAAGTCGCTTTGAGGAGACGAGTTCTTATTACAATAATATAAAATCAAAACGGGATCAGAACATACAGTCATTTAATAAACATATATACATTTTAATATTTAAATCTCGATTGTATGAACTCGTGTGGCTTGTATGCTCAGCTTTATTCTTTTCCATAAGTATTATACTGCTGCTCGGAGTGAAAGCGGAAATAAACACCTCATCAACCGGGTTTCTTACTAGGTCCTCGTGCAGCGCTCGCTTTCCGCCGTCACCTGTAACATTCAGGGCACACAGTTCAAAGGCACGACTGGCTGACCCCCCCACCCCATACCGATCATTTATGTGTACACACACACGCGCAGTCACTAGCAGCACACGCGCACACCGGTAGAGACGTCAGGATTGGACGCAGCAGGGGATCCCCCAGCATTCCGTTTCTGCCTCGCTTGGCATATCATCATCTTTTACCGAGAGGAGATGAGCTCGCGCCGACTCTCACTCGCAGAGGGCAGCAGTAACAGAGGACAGTGTTATTTCTCCGTTTTACCGGAGCGCGCTCTCTCGCTCCTTCTCTCTCCCTCCCTTCTCCCGCTGCTGTGCTGCAGAAACGGTTCTTACTGTAGCCGTCGCTTATGCCGGACGGCCGGGACAGCGCGAGGAAAGAGTAGAGAGCAAAGGGGAAAGGTGTTTCAACACCTGAGCGATTTGTTTTCGAAAAGAAAGGGACGTTATGGACGAAAGAAACGTCAGCGTTTAACTGACTCACTGTTAGTTTAATTGTAGTTTCACGCTGGGGAGACAGGAGAATCGACCATTTCATCTGTCTTCACAGCCGACACTTCATTTCACGTGTGCGTCGTTCTGACAGCCGCGCGCGCCGTGCAGCCTCGGAAACGGTCCTCGAGCCTCTCCGGCTGGTCCGCGCAACGGTGCATTTGAAGAAAACATAACCCACACTCTAAAAGCACTCAGTCCTCGGGAGAAGAAAGAAAACACTTTATCCCGTGTTTCGAATTAAGCTGACGTTGATTTGGAATAAACCGTCTAGAAACGTGAGTAAAGTAGTGAAAAGGACTTTGCGGATGAATATGATGTTCTGAAAGAGCTTTTTCTAGTTTTTCCTTTGTCACTTTCACTCTTAAGATTAACGACGACAAGCTGAACAAGACGAAGAAGTTTTTTTGTGGAAAAAAGTCGAAGAAAATAACCGGCTACACAACGGTGGTTCTGGTGGTAAGCTGGGAGAGGAGGGTCCCTTTCACGCGGACGAACAGGTAGGACAGCCCCGACAAACACGAACATGACTACCGTTAAAGAAACAAAGCGGGAAGTGACACGAACAGAACAGGCTATGTTTGTTTGAATATCATGGAGCAAAGCGAGCTTCATTTAACGCTAGTGTCGTATCGACAGATGCCTTTCTCTCCGTTATAAAATGGTAGGTCGTGCGGCTTGGCATGTCGAAACGTTCCACACAATGCAGGTTTCCAGAGCATTGAAATGCAATTAACGCTCTTCAATTCGGCAACAATAAATACAAGCAAACACCACTTGTTTAGTACTATTGTGACGTCACGTTTGTAATTGGTTGGCCTGGTATGAAACGTTTCAACTAGATGTTCGGACAAGCCATCAATGAGAAAGCTGTTCTAAAAGTTGATTTTATTTCAAAAGGTTTAGCACTTCTTGAATTGTATCCCAAATATTGACCTCTTCACTACACATGTATGCAATGTTTGAGTCTTAATTCACTATGCACGTTGCCGTTAAGCCAGAGTTAATTCAATTGACCGTTTTTAGAACATGGCGTTGTCTACGTGGTTGAGATTTGGTCCGTTCATGACGTGTGTTACAGTCAACATTTAACCGTAAAATAGCACGGACCGACCGCGAGACGACCTAACGAAAGCGTTGACAGATAAAGGCGTTGAAGTTCCCAGTGCAGCGTGCTTCTTTTAGTGTGAACGGAGGGGCGTTAGGAGGAGAGGGCTGAACAAAAGAAAGAAAAAGAAAGGAACCCAAGTTCAGTAAAGCACGGAGGATGTGGGGACATTTCTCTCTGCGTCTGTGTGTTTTCTCAGATGTTTTCCAAATGGAAAAACAACATTCATTATTAAAAAAAATATTAATTTAATTAAATATCTGTATGGGAAGATATTCAATTGCGATTTTATTCGTGAATTTGAGCGCTGGAGAGATACTGTAATAGAGGTGAGAGTGGAAGCCATTATTACAACTGCCATTCTCCTGTAGTCTGTAATTGGGCCGATTTCTTGTGAATTAAATAAGACTGAAATTAAACTGTTCCTCATCTAAGTGTTCCTGCACATACTTTGACACAGCCCTGGAATATAAAATAACAGATATTACAGTTGTATCAGTTTAACCTCTGTTCTGGTAATGACTACAAATAAGAGCCCAGAGGAGCCTGCCTGCATTTAGCCTGTGGTACATTTTGAGGAACAAACCCTGTTCGAGGCTTTTTTTGTGTGTGTGTGTGTGTGTGTATTCAAACCGTAGTGATGGATGAACGGGCAGGTTAGACTCTCAGTTGCTTTCTCTCCTCGTACTTCATATCTTCCATGTCTCTATCATTTCCAGCAGCTCTGTTCGGTCAGTACAACCCATGTAGGTCCTGTGATGTCCTTAACTACCCTCGTGTAAAATAAACAATAGGTGTTGGTGCACTCCGTAGTTTTTACAAATGTGTGCTTTATTTCGTATTTTTAGTCATTTCATTTGTGAACTTATCTGCTGCTTTGACTTCGTATTCCAGTGAAGTGCTCGACATGTCCTCTTGCCTTCCCTTCCTCTTTGTGTTTAAATATTAGAGAGCACATGTGCTCGGCCCCTCACTGCACTCTTTGACAGATAGTAATTGTTGTCCCATTCAGTTATTATGCTTTGGAATATACAATATTGAAGTTAAGTTTCATGGAAAATCTGGCATAGGCTGTAGCTTCATGAACATTGCAGCAGCGTTATTGCTCAGCACTACACTAGTGTGGCCGTCAGTAGAGTGCTGCGAAGGTAAAGTGTGTGATAACTGTGACCTTGAGTAAAGTAAAAGGTTTTTATTAAAAACTATCTTCATATTACATAACCCCATTGTTTTTATGCTGGTGGTGGCTGCACTCCGTGTGTCACTGATGGTATGAAAATGGTCAAAAGAAATAAAGGTATTGATTTGTGAAAGGTAAGAAGTTGGGTCAAGAAAGGTGCTAAAATGACTGCGTGGTCCACTTGTATAGAAGCAGAAGCGCTGTGTAGTGTATAACTGCTGCTCGTATAAAGTGTGATTTACTTACATGCAGAGATTTATTGGAGCGCTGCAAGATATATTTATATTGATACAGTGATATGAGACTGGATACTATGTTGATCTAGAATATATGGTTGCATGATATAGACTTCACTATATTGTCATATACTGCATGCATTGCCTTTCCCTTTTTTGTGGCTTCATTACAGTAAACTGGTGCAATTGTCTGAGCTCATGGTACTGTTCTTTAGTGAAAGTCTCTCAGCGTTTTGTCATCACATCTGAACTACAGCCTCTGCACAGCAATGAGGCTGCGCTGTGGAGTCAAGTGAGGCCATATCAGTTCAATGGATATTCAGTGGTACCTTAAATAGCATAGCATAGTTTGCTTGTTCCAATCTGTACTGTTGACAAGAATAGTCCAACGATAGACCATTCATTAGTGGTAACGAACATGCTGAGGAGGAAGGTAAAATGAAGAGAATGGTACTTGCACAGACACTGTAGCGCTGTGGAAGTGTACTGTACACCGCTGGTGGTTTTACAGATGGCTCAGGCAGCCCCCTCACTAAACTTAGCAAGCAGAAGTGTTGCACATATTTGGTATTATGCGTGAGAAAGGGTGATGAAAATATTTTGTTTAAATTGCACGTGACGGTTTCAGGTTTAATAGAGCATATGACTAACGGGTAGATGCTAAAGTGTATGTATTCTATTTAAACAGTACATACCAATTCATGCTTCTTTAATTTGTAACAGAATTATTGTGGTTGTGTTAAAGAACTTTGTGAACATTTTCCCTGCCCTCTAAGCAAGCATGTATTTCAAATTAGTTTATTACAGTACAAAAACAAACTTGCACAGCTGTAAAACTGGATAGGTAACATGTCTCATCTTACCCGGTTTTATTTTGACACTGACTCTGTTCTTGCACAATTTGATTTGAGCGATCTGCATGTTTTGCCGTGTGCAGGTAGCTGTGGGAAGTTTTAAATTAAGGACATTTTAGCTCCAACAAATCACGCTCCTAATTTGAAACTACTCTAATAAGCTTCTTTTTTTCTCTTTAAGGAAAGTAGAAGTACAATTACGGAGTACATATATGAGTCATCTTGATTTCTTTCTCTAAAGAAAACCAGCATGTGTCCCAGTGGACTTGAAGTGCTGCATGTTTGAGATTCCCAGTAGCACTCAAGCACTGCAGACATCTTAACACCACAATCACATAATTCTGTTATGTGTAATGTGTACACTTTTAATAGGCGGACCCAGGCAGTCCTCTGGAAATGGGCTTTATATCTATTATTTTTATTACTTACTCAAATAAATGTAATTGCTGTTTTTTATATGTAACTGGTTAATCTCCAGTTAATTCTAACAACATCAATATAGAAAAGCAAACATGATAAAAGGGTAAAAGCAACGAGCGAAAGACACTTTTAGGGGAGTTTTCGTACCAGTGTGCTTAATTGAATGTGTCCTTTATTTTATGTGTGTGCATATGGGTGTGCATATGGGTGTGTGGGTGCTTACATGCACGCCATTATGATTTGATTAAATTTGCATTAGTTTGAGTTGTGCATACAGAAGAAAAACAGACACAGTTTGTACTGTACGTGTATGCACATGTGCGAGTGTGTGTTGTGGATAAGTTAAGCAGGAGACGGACACGGGGTCCAGCAACAACCTACACGCAAACATACACACTTGAGAACTGGATGAGAACACTGGGCTACAGTGATGTCCTTTTGTGTATTTTTGTAAGATGGTCTGTGTGTGTGTCTGTGCGTGCGCCTGTGTCTTTGTATGCTTGTGTAAGGACTTGAAAGTATGCTGTGTGTGTCTTTCTTTGTCCATATGTACCTTGTGGGCTGTTTCAACTGTGTGTGTGTGTGTCAGTGTGTGTGTTTTCAATAATTACCATGAGAGCCCTCAAACTGAAAATGTATCCACATAGTGTGTATGTGTCTGTGTGTGTGTGTGTGTGTGTGTGTGTATTGTCCAGGGAGTGCTCAGACTGAAGATCCAGCTGATGAAAGCTACCTGGAGCTTCATAAATGGGCCCTTTGTCCAACAGCAGAGCCTGTGTGTGTGTGTGTGTGTGTGTCTGTGAGTGTTACTCAGCCTAAATCTTCACTGAAAATCCGGTAGACATGAAATGTTTTAGTTTCGTCAGAATTTCGTTTACCAGATCTGTCAGGCACTTGCTGCCGCCATGCTTCTATTTTGTGATTTGGTAAATAAGTCCTCAGTTTGTGAAAGTTGAAATTGTAATGTGGCTAAATGGATTAATTAAGCATTAATTAGAGAGTATCGACCATATTGTTAATCAAGACGTATTTCATACTTTTGTATCCGGTTGTTCTGCAGCGTAGCCTGCAGCTGGACCATGCCCCTTGTTCTAGACCTGTCCTTGGACCTCTCGACACATTCCCAAGCTTTCTCTGCAGCCCCAGTATTCATTCACCTGTCACAGGCTTGAGTGTCTGTAGCCTCCGGAGTACAAGGCAATGCAGGCGACACAGTAAAAAAAACAACAACAACCTCGTGGCGTACAGCTGCCTCTGAACTGCTCTCCCTCATAACGTCCAGGTCACCAGAGGCGTGTTGTATTTGCTGATCGCTTCCATTACACAGCAGCGTTATGTCACATTTGGGAGAACCTTTCTAGTAGGTGACATAATTGCTCTTAGTTGGCAATGATTTCATAACACAGTTTGATTCAGCACATTGTATAAAGAATTGGAAGTCAGTACATTTTCATGTCAAGTAAAGGTAACCTCTGTGTGTGTGAGTGAAATGCCGAAAGCTTATTCAAGGTATTTATTCCATTAAATGCAACTTTGAACAGGTTACCACTGATGGTGGACAGGTTTGATTCTTTCAACCCTGCTGTAACCATCTAATACATTTATTTTTATATT